TGTATCATACACTGTAATGTTGAGGGAATCTCAAACAAGAAAACGGAGCTGGGAAACTTTCTGCGAGTAAATGAAATAGGCATAATTTATTAATATCATAAGCTTTATCCAAGAAACAAACCTGCAGGAAGAAGTGAAATTAACAGATGGACAGGGTGGGAGCTCAAAAAACCAACCAGACAACACAATTTAAACTAATCATTCAGACTTAAAAACTCTCATAAAACACCATATACAGCACCACAGACGCCAGATGGCAACCACGAGCTGTCCTGCCTTGAACAAGTGGTTATCTTCAGACTATGGCAAGACTCGGACAACACATAAGGGCCCACAGTCACCAAAATGCCAGTGTGTAGGAGCAGACCAAACTGTGGAAAACATCTTCCAGCAGTGTAGGACCAGAGCCCTGAGACAAGAAACGTGGCCTACCCAACCCCATTGACAGGAAACGATCAAAGCCGCGTACTTACGAGAAAAAACAACAACAACAAACAAACCAACCCCAAAACCACACTTTTTGACGATCTCGGCACAATAATTATACAATGTATTACTGATTGCATCCAACAGTTACACTCCCTCTGACAAAATCACTCCGTATTTCATGCAGTCATGTAGATTCTAGATCTATCTATTTCCATAAAATTCAACGTCAAGAAAACTATTTTTCAGTCGAGCCAATTGACAAAGGGCTTGGGGTGTGTTCATGCCATATATTAACATAAAACTGGTTTTCATACAACACTATTTTTACGTCTAGTTTTTTTGTCTCCTTTCGTTGGGCCCTAAGTGTGCCAAAAAAGGTCATTACTCAGATAAGTGGTGAGTTGTAATACAACAACAGAGGAATGTGTACATGTATTACTATTAGTCAGTATAATTAATCTCTTAATGACCATGACTGACAGAGCAGAGGCTTGCTTTCACTTTAACTGGCGTTGCTGTACGAAGATCTGCAGGGCTCGGGCGGAAACGAACGTTGAGAAAACTAGATCTATCATTTTGTCACAACAGCACATCCACAACTGTGTACGTGTGAGCAAATAGCAGACAAAAATAAAAGCTCGCTTCATGCTCACAAATCTGGAGAACAGCAGAATAAAATGAGATCATCAAAAATTGTTTGCAGGGATGCAACCAATAAGTTTATGAGAGTATGACCATATATTATTATGACGAAGCTAAAAATCGGGCCCAAGTCCTGACTGCCGGCCCCAAACCCTATAA